GTGACCTTCTTGAACCCAATAAGGTAAGACTATTAATCATGGTGTAAACTACAGTGTTCAGATTTACTTTGTCCCTTTCAAGCTTCCTGAGAAAGAAACTTCCTCTTCCCAATCTAACCACAGTTCAAGACACTCACAGGTAAGTTAGATCCTTCATGGGTATGAGCTGGTGTGTAGATGTTGAGATATAGGCAGTCCTTGGACATAGAAGTGGGAGGCATGTTCAGATTCAGCAGCTTTTCGACCTCATTAGTCATCACATCAGTCTGCAGACACCTGGTGAAATTGGAAGACAGTTCAGGATATGTGATAATCAAACCTAAGTCTTAGTTTGCACATTCTCTCAGCCACCTTTAGCTACTGCTTTCCACTATGCCCTTATAACATATGATTCCTCTCTAAAGTCCCTTCCCATCAATGTAGAGTCCACCAGCTCTGTGGAAATGCTAATAGAGCAGGACTTTCAGGGAGACCTCTGGTCAGATAGTAATATCCTGAGGGCTAGTTGATGGAGACTGCTGGCAGTCTATGAAAATGATTGCCTCTCTGTACTATCATTCATCACTTTTATACTATTTAAAACCTGGTGTGGCAATTAGTTTTGACTGTTGACACAATGTAGAATCTACTGGGAAAGTAATCTTAATGAGGGATTGTCTAGATCAGTGAATTACAACTTTACAAATTCTTTGACACTTTAACACAGTTCCTCATGTTGTGGAGACCTCCAATGAACTATTTTGTTGCTACTTCATAACTTTAATTTTGCCACTGTTATGAATAATAATGTAAATATATGATATACAGAATGTCTGATATTTGACCTCTGTGGGATAGTTCCCACAGGTTGAGTACCACTGGCCTAGATCCTGTTGGTCTCTAAGCATGTCTGTGGCCAATTATCTTGATTATGTAAATTGAGATAGAAACACTTGTCTATTGTAGGAGGTACCATTCTCTAGGAAGTGTCTTCTGAACTGTATAAGAATGGAGAGAGTAAGTGAAGCATTAGCAGGAATGCTTACGTCTGTAGTGATATGTAAGTAAAACCTTTATGTCCAGCTTCAAGTGAAATGCACAGTAGAGCCTTTGTGTCTGAATTTGAGAGAACTGTTTGAGCAAAGCCATTGCTCTGTTTGAGTTAATCAGTAGAGGCTCAGAAATTGTTTTGGGACTGTTTAAGCCTTGAAGAAATGTTTCTCTGGAGAGTCTGTGCTTGGTGCTATTTGAGAACTTGGAGCTTGGAACTACACTGACCTTGGTCCTAAGACAATCCTGGCAGACCTGGCATTCTTACTTTTGATTACAGCTTGCAATAATCAAACGGGACTGAGATGTGTGTGGGTTGTCCGCTCTCACGAGCAGCAAGAGGAAGATGACTTTGGTAGTTGGAGCCTTTCCCAGTCCCAATTAACATTTTGTATGCTTGAATAAAATAACTGGAGTTAGGTAACTGAGTGTCAGTCTTTTCCAAAAACACTGTACCCCTCTGCTCCTTCAGAAAATGAAGGCTTAGCATCTTAGTGAGTTTCTCTTGCTACTGCAGCACCTATGACCCAACATCAAACAATATGTTTCCTTTAGGCTCTGTTCCTCATTGGGGATGTGATGTGATCAGCTCCCTTAAACTTCTGCCCCTGTGGTTTCCCATCTATGGTTGATTATAACCTGGGATTGTGACCCAGAGTAAAATCTTTCTTCACCACATTGCTTTTGTCAGGGTACTTTATCACAGCAACAGGAAACAAACTAAGACACTCCAGTACTGGGATTCTGTGCCCACATGGGAACTACAGGGATGAGTGGACAATACCATAGGGGAGTGAGACATTCTTCATCTTATTCCAGACTCTCAAGGTACCTCCTTCTTCCACATAGTCTCCAGTTGAAAGCATGTGTAATTTTTCCTTAGTCCATGACACCTGGGAATTGGATGGTCACAGTGACCATGAAGAATGGCCTCTCTCTCCTCACTGCAGTACCTGCAGCTAAATCACTGCAGGTGTCAAGCTCTGACCCAGGAGCCTGGCGCAGTTGTTCTTCTCTAATCCTTAGCACATTCATTGGAAACAAGCCTGGCAGACGGCCCTCAGCACAGACTGAAGCTGCTATAGAGCTGAGATGGAGGAGGCACTACAGTGTGGCCTAGAGCTCATGCCGGAAGTCCCCTGGGCCCCAGAACTTACATGGCTGGCTGGGAGGTCCCATCTCTCACACCACTCCATGGCTCAGGGGGCTCAGGGGGAGCAAAGCGCAGTGGTCCTACAGGAGGCTTGGCAAAGGGAATTCCCAGGAAGGTATGGACACCAACATCACTGTCTTTCACATGGACAAGGCTTCCTCTCACCTGTCCTGTGTGTGTGTTCCTGATGGGGCTGGATGAGTCCTGGCCTGTAAGTAGAGAGATGCCATCAGTTGTGATTCTTGGGAATTCCTATATCATTGTCACTGTGATACATGGGAAATATAAGCCAAGTCCTCCCAGTTCAGCTGTGGGATGTGCAGATTAGGTCTTCTGGATTACCTAGAGCTTTTAACCTTGTCCATTGGCCCTCTTAAAAATTGACAGGGCACTTCTTTAGTCAACAAAATGACAGGCTCAGAGCCACTTTGAATTATTAAGGAACTATTGTCATTATCCAAGGTCAGAAGGAGCTCTAGCCACAACCACACATGGTGAGGGACGTGTCCCTTCTGCTCTTCTGTCCCTACTGGCTCCCAGTACATGGCATCCTTACACAGCTCTGACAATACATGTACCACAGGGTCTATCATGTGGTCTTTGGTGGAGGCATTAGGGTTGCACAAACCCACACTTTCATCTGTCATCTCCACCAGCTCCTCCCTCCCTGGTACTTCCCTCCCTCAGGATCAGCCTTTGACTGCAGAACTGGGACTGCTCTGACCCTGGTTCCCTCTGTTCACTCACCATGCACGTGGAGGAGGAGAAGCAGGAGCCCACAGGCCACAGCATACAGCCAGGCAGAAAGTCTATCGAGTGGCATGTTGAATCCCAGGCCTAAGTCTGTGCTGCTACAAAATGACACTCTAATAACAGCAGGAAACAGAACAGGTAGGCCTTGCCCAGGCAGGAATTTGTACCTTTCAGGTGTAGGTGTGGAAATTTGGTTGGTGGGGCAAAGTTCTTATTGCAGGAGAACTGATTGATAAGGTGGAAGCCAAAGAGAGCCAATAGTCAGCAGGGAGAGCAAAGCCTCCTCTACAGTTTCTGCCCCTCCCCTGGTCTCTGGGATAGACACAGCATGGCAGCTGAATGCCGTCTGGAATGCCAAGATCCCTGTCCTTGAACATGGAGTCACCTTAGTGCAAGGGAAGATGCTCTAAGTGTGATCATCCTCCTCAAGACTCCACTGTGCTGTCAGGACTCATAATTCCTTGTCCCTTATGGTGATCTTAGGATCTGCAGTGCCCCTCCCTGTCAGGTCATGCTGGTTTCTCTGAAAGACACTGAAATTCTGGCTCCTCTGCCTGTGTGCAGCACTTCAATAACACCTTCAGCTCCTAGTGCAGTGGTTCTCAACCTCCATAATGCTGTGACCCTTTAGTACAGTTTCAAATGTTGTGGTGACCCCCAAAGATAAATTGTTTTTACTACTTCACTACTATACTTTTGCTACTGTTATGAATCATAATGTAAATATCTGGTATTCAGGATATCTGATATGTGTCCCCAAAAGTGGCCATGACCCACAAGGTTGAGAAGCTCACCCCTAGTGGGCATCAGCAAGAATCATGATTTTGGTGAAGTCCTATGGTTGGCTTTCAAGGCAAGGAATGAAATCTGTAAAAGGCAGTATCCTAGGATGGCACAGGTGTGTGATATGTAGGGGGATTGGGATCACCAGGATCTAGAAGATGGGGGATAACGCCCTTTAAAGACAGAGAGAAAATGTTTTAGAGAAACAGAGAGACAGATTGTGCACCATTTGTCACCTTTGTATAATAGAATATATTATGAGATAATGTTTTTAATAGAGGGCCTAGAAAAACTTTAGGGACAATGATAAAATCAGAATAATGTAATAATCCAAGAGATGAAGGAGAATGATTGTGTCACAAGGAACCAAAGCATTTATGGGGATCTGTGAAAGTTAGAAATAACTTTCCATACATGGACAGATACTCAGGGAGACAGGGTTAGGATGCTCTTCTGGTCATTTCTGGACCTTCTGATGCTCCCATCCCATTTTCCAGGACAAAACTCACAGTCATATTCACAAATATATTCACAAATGTCCAGAGGATGTGAACATAAATCTGATAGTGTCTAGAGGCTCTATAAGGGAGGTGGGGAGAAACTTCAACCAATTCCAACAAAACACACACACACACACACACACACACACACACACACACACA